AGGTGGATAGGGTGGTAGCTTTATATGACTGGTGTCTTTCTTCTCCTCAATGACTGAAGACAAAAATCATCATCATACTTCACTCGGAACACAATGAGGAACTTTCTTCGTCTGTTCTTTCCCATTGACAATCATAGTGTCGTCGAGTTTTCTTGGACTATACTGATTGACATTAGTGACATTGTTGATGGGTTCGACAAAACCATCCAGTGGCATATTACGTACCACACTTATCGGATAGATCTCCGCATCTTTCATTCCTTCTGGGTACTGAAACGCTGGTGGGACAGTATTTTCTGATACTAGTGGAGAAGATGGAACCGGCCTCTTCCAGTCACAAACTCAAGAATCCGGGATGACTTTCGTCGATATTATTCGATCTCGGTAGACCATTTGGAATATCGTGTGAATGATGTGACAAATAAGCATTATAATCATGATATAAATGAGATTTATGCATGATAGGTGGGCCATGGAAGTCGATTCTAACAAAACGTTTCTTGTAGACTGCAAACAAATTACAAACAATCTCTGCAGTCACTAAAACTCCAGCGTTCATAGACAGCATACGTAGTATAAAATGTCCATCTTGTCTCACAAATTCAGCCATAAATCGATCTATAGGAATAGATATTTCTGCATCATCACGGTCATAGAAATCGGCCATTTTTAAGAATCTTCATACAAAGTGTCACTGACGCTTTTTCAGTCCCATACGATGCAATCAAAGTGGTATACTTAGCATAGTCAATAGCATGGCTGAACCAAGAAAGAAGAATAAGAATATATAAATATTTTCATTCAAAATGTTGATTGGAAGGATTCATTGGGCGAAAAGTATATTACTAGCTCCAACATATTGAAGCGTCTGCCTACACATTCCAAGTCGAGGGAATACTTGTGTCTCCGACCATCGCTTTCCATGTATAATATCAGGGAGAACACACAGTCCAAATAACCAGTAGCCTTGACATGAATCAAAACGTAAGAAAAGGTACATCATTTGCTACCGACAAAGTCCAACGACGGAGTATACGATCTTGACTGCCAAATATGCGTAGACTAAGTTGTTCCTATGATGTTTACCTGGCGTAAAAGCCATTGAACGTAAAAAGGAAGCACCTAAACTGTCACCACTAAGGTATTCACGACGACCAAACAATAATAATTCCAGTGTTTTAGCAATATGTTCAACCTTTTTTGTCTTTTTTCACCATCTTTCTTTGTAACTGGGTTGGCTTGACGCATTACATTTTTTAAATCAGTTCCAGTGCGATTGAATGTGAATATACTCCAAATTATGCCTGGTAAATAATACAGGATAGCCTGTGAGCCAAGTACTACTGGAACCCATTGACAGTAATTCCAGTCTTGTAGTTTATGAGGTACAATTCCAGATGTAAAATTAATAGGCAGTGTGCCTTCAATCCAGCATAAATTTGCGGGATACGAATCTGCATTCACTCCACTGATTATCGATGGTGGACAGCACACCAATGTAGTCATGAAATACTGTCCTAATGTTACCAATTAATATAGGCGTAAAAGTTGGGCACTGTGGTAGAATTTGCTACCAATACAAACAACTCATATGAGGTGAAATAACTATAAAATTCAAATGTCGAAAGTGAGGTGATTACATTCATATGATTATGAGCAGTAATAATTTATGCTCTAAACGTCATCAAGCAAATAATACCAGATCACTGGGTATTATAAATCAAATAAACAAATCCAATATGAAACTAATGTGTATTGGAAAAGACCCCAACACAGTTGGTGACATCGAAATCCATTCTAATGGGTGGGGTGACATGAATGCGAAACTGGAAGCCAACAACACAGGAGGAGAACCGATCATGAGTCGAGAAGCACTCAGTGAAATGATGAACGAAGATGGAGAACTATTTGCAGACTTATGCACATTCAACGATTTGGTGACTAGAGGTAGTTTGTACAAACACGGGGATATTCACAAGGCAGCGACATGCACTTGATTTCACCATTCACCAGATGGACACACTACACCAAACATCACATCGACTTCATCTCAATGTGAAGAAAGTGGAGACACAGTCAGCCTACTGGACACAAGATCAGAGGAGGAAGTGGAGCAGATGTGGGTTCAGCCCACTCACCATCCAGTGCAAGGAAGCTACCTGCAAAATCAAGTTGAAAGCCTTGAGAGAAGCTGGTGATGATAGACCACAGTTGAAGTTGAACACTCAGAAGAGAAAGTGAACTGAAGGACGAAAGTACAGAGGATGAAACTACTTCACATGAGTCAGTCATCAGGACAGAGTGGGAGACATTGAGCAACATCCCTGAAGGATCGGACGTGAAAGAACACTGGAACTGTTTGAAAGAGATGTGGAAGGAGACATGCACAACCGTGTTAGGAAGGAAGAAGTAGCAAGACGAGACGAGACAAGGTATGGATCTCGAGGGACATATGGAAGCTGATAGAGTGGGGAGAGGAAGATGGTGATGGTGAAGTAGAAGATGAACCAGTGCAGTGCAGTGCAGTGCAGTGCAGAGCAGGGATTAACAAAGAAAGGAGGAACTCAGTACAACATATAAAACACTACACTGTAGAAAGGAGTGAAGAAGAGTGTGTGGAAAGTAAAAAGACACTTCTACGACACATTGGCAAGTGAAGCAGAACAGGCTGCAGGTAGGAGAGACGGAGTCCTGACAACATTACATCAAATAACCTGGTTACTATCTGCTAGGGAAGAGATGAACACCGATGAAACCAATGAGAGATAGCGAAGGGAACCCAGTTACCACCAAAGAGTAGGAACAAAGGAAACGATAGGCTGAACACTTCAGTAAACTCTTGAATCGACCACCACCTGCAACACGTCTAGAAATACCACCAGCGGCCCAGATACAGAACTATCAGTGAAGACAAGCCCTCCGACGAAACGCGATGTCCTGAACGCCATAAAGTCGCTGAAACCCGGGAAAGCAGCAGGTCTAGACGAAATTCCGCCGGAAACACTGAAAGCAGACGCAGAGATATCAGTGGTGGACATGCTCTCATCACTGTTGCGGAAGTTTTGGAAGGAAGAAAAGGCACCTGTCGATTGATTAGTAGAAGGGCTACCCTGTCATGCTCCCAAAGAAGGGTGACCTAAGTCTTCGAAGAACACAAACTGGTGCGGAATCATTCTCCTCTCCACCCACGACAAAATATTAGGCCACATTATCCTGGAGAGATAAAGGATTCTCTGGACTCAAAATTATGACTGGAATCTGCTGACTGGCTGGCTTCAGGAATAACAAATCATATGGGGACCACAATGTAACGACACACTACACAGGATCATAGAACAGAGCATAGAATGGAAGTCAACTGAATCATGCTACAACACCACGGTTTCAGTGCCACAAACCTCTACCAACCTCATTCAACAGCCACTACATGCTATATAATGCTACAGGCTGCATGCCGTGTGATTCACAGTGTGAAGCTAGTCAGTAATGCCCATGAAGTGAAGACAGGATTAAGACAAGGTTGCCGTCTACTATCACCGATTACCTTCCTGATTGTGGTCTACTCGACTGGACTCGACTGGATCACGCAAAAAATGTGGGGAGCGAGGAGAGACGCATGTGCTGTTTGACCGATGAAAAGACACTAGCAGATTTGGATTTCGCCAATACAGAATTATGTCCAATGTCTTGTCACGCAAACTTGAAGGTGTACAGGCGAAAACCAAAACGTTGGCAGGGGAGGTGAGGCAAGGCGAGGCTCGATAGCGAAGATGGGACTTCCTTCAGGTGAACGTAGAGAAGACAGAGGTGATGAAGATACCCACCAAATCACATCAACAGCAAGAAGCACCAATCACCATGAACGATAGAAATCTAAAGCATGTTGTCTCATTCACCTACCTAGGCAGAGCAGCATCCTTTCAACTACAGGTGGAGGCACAGATGAGAATGTCGAAGCCAGGATCGGAAAGGCGGCAAGACAGACATTCATTAACCTTAAATCAGTGTAAAGATCTACTGCACTTCACTCAGCATAAAGCTTGAACAAGATATGGATTTCCAACACTAATACTAATGTCAAGTCAGTGTTTCTACGTGATGGTTGAGAGACTTGACGCGTTACGAAAGCATTTCCAACAAACTACAGACATTCATCAACAACTGGCCACGCTCGATACTGAAGCTCAGATCAGGAGGCCAGAAAGAGTAAGCAATAAGGAACTCATTCTGGCTGGCTGGCTGGCAACGAACCAACCAAGAACCCATTAACCCAGAAATATGCAGAAGAAAGTGGAGATGGATCTGATTGGACACTGACTGAGAAGACCGATAGGAGTCATCATGCACCAGGTCAGTCCTGGCCTTCAAGTGGAAGCCAAATGAGAAACGATGAGTTCAGTGTCCGAGGGTGACATGGGGGAGATGGTGTGAGGAAGAAATGAAGGTTTCTGGACAGTACTGGAGCCAGGTTGAAAAGACTAGAGAGAAGAGAGTGCAATGGCGATGTGCTACTGAAGCCCTATGTTCCACTATGATCCCAAAGGACAAATAATAATAATCTTTTGATTTCTTCGGATACCGAGGTGTCATAAATTACACACTCAAAATGCAACATGAGCAACAAAATATTGGGATTCGTGAATAAACACTAATATACTTTTTATTATGTTATCCAATTACGCAAAACAAAACCAATATACCTTATTCTAGGTCGAGAAAAATAGTAAAGCTTCAACATAAACTGAAACTGCATTCAAATATCCCACCTAGATTCACGATCACCTCACTCTGTCTTAACAACTCTTTGAGACACGTTTGATTTTATATTATTTTGGAAGTTGCAATAAGCAAACCAGTAGAAGGTGCATCTTCGTTGTTATTTATAGAATATAACTAATGGTATGCATTCCGTTGCAATGCACTTTATGATGTGCAGTAATATCATGCATAAGTGAATGCAATTTTCCCTCTGTGATACCACTCAGTTTAAAATATATTACCTTGGGAGGTAGTAGCCATACTTGTCCTTTTTTAGCGGCATCTTATCTTTACCTCTGGGAGTTCGAGGTTTCCCACTTGGATAACGCATGAAGGGGAAATTGTAAGCCGAAAATCCCTGCAACAGGAAAATACAATAGCATTGAACATGATGGAATTTTGAAAATAAAAAAGCGGGTTGATCTGAAGTTTAGAATTTCTATTGCAAAATGTGTTTTATTTGAACTTGCATTATGGAGTGTCGGCATCAATAAGATTAATGTTACAGTGATCTAGGGTTCGACATAATCGAAAAACGAGACAATCTTGATGATATGCTGTGATGAAAAACAAAGCTGAAGCAACAAAGAAACTTACGAGGGCATGGCCAATCTCATGAATGAGGACTCCCAGTGTATTTTTAACCCCAGGATATGTGATATCCATCTTACTTGAACACAAGTTGACGTATCCAATAACTGGTCTAAAATGCAAAGGAAATACTCGTAGCATCAGGACTTAATATTTTGCATTTGAAGAAACAAAGTTCCATCTTGTATTCCAAAATTTGTATTTGGGGTGCAGAGATTTGGCACACTGAATCTAGATGTATAAAGACTTTATCTTCGTACATGATGAAAAGCTCCATCTAATGCAAGCATCATTTTCATGCTCCTCCGTCGCTATGATTAATCCAACTTTGAATATCTATACATTCTTTATGATCTGATGAATATGAAGACGAATGTTAGCAAAGTGATAAATGGAAGCAGCATTGAGAAGACAGTTGACGTGAGGAAATCCATCTTTTCGTACTAATCCCACTTGACAAAATAGCCAAATGTGAAATTTCGCTACGTTACAACGTACTAGTTAAGTACTTATCTACAGTCAACTAATTACAATCTGAGGCTAATTTTGGTTGATGGCAGATTCGAAAATTGTTCATCGTTAAACTTGAACTTATGATCTCAACGGTACTCAACTGGAAGGCTGGTGATAGATAAAAAATAAAACGAGTTTAAGACTACCAAGGTAACACTAGTAAACTGTTTAAATAAAATGATATCAACGATTAACTTAGGATCAATGGATATATTGAGCTCTGGAGAATTATCACACATGTGTCTTCTGTGTATGCTTGAAGTGATTGCTTGTAACATTTCACTCGTATTTACAAATATATTTCAAATATATGTAATGACAAACCTATCAGTTTCGGGATCCATACTACACGATGATGCGAAAGCGGCTGCTCCACCTAAGCATGCTCCAGTGTCGGCTGCGTCAACCAATAGTACGTAACCGTTGGACGGTATACCAGTTCCATTGTCATAACGTCTATAAAAATCCTCATAGTACTTTAGGTAACATTCCTGTAAGGCAGAATATTCAAATTAATCAGTCACAACACAGATCTGTTGTTAGGACCTTCCTAAAATGTTCTTCGTTTATAATTTTGATAAAGAAAAATCCTTTTGAAGGTTGTGACAAATTGAGATTTTCAGAAAACAAATTCGATAAATCAATTAGACAGTGCCTTCACTCAAAATCAACAAATACAACGTAGTAGAAATCTAAAATCTAATATCAGATGTCAAGAAGTCATGAGCGAAATTCGACGCACCAGGAATGAAAGAAACGCATTTGCCTTCAAATGAATAACTTTCTAGTAGTGAAAATCAAATTAGTTTACGTGTTATCAATCCATGGAAAAACAATTTCAGCTAACAGCAGTTATGTGCACTTGAAATGTGAAAGTTTATAGGCAACCTTAGCAAAGGTCGAAATCACTAATTGGATTTCTCTGTTTCAGCTGGAAAGGCAGATTTTCATGAAACAGAGAAGTCTGATTGGTTACTTCACTTGTTTCTAGGGTGGTCGTTGAAGTCACTCCCTCCCAAATGATACTACAAAGGAATGAAGTGCGAGTCAAATCAAAGCAATCAGGTGGTATAACAACATGTAGAAACAACCTATGTTCTACTGAATTCAAAGGCACTTACTGAGGATTGTTTTGATGACGTACTGGTTTCGCCTTTAGAAAGCAATCTTCAGGCTGTGAATATAGTTTTTGTATCAAGACAATCTATTCTGCCGACTCCAGAACCTAAGCGCTAACCTTCTGTTTGTTGTTTACACATTGCCAACAGTGTGTGATGATAAGAATAAGATGCCTGCAGTGGCATTCTAGGTTGCTTAGGAAAGCGCCGAGTCGTACACTTACAAGGTATGAATGTGGAAAACAACCAAATAGTAAATTGAGAATGCATATATTTTGGTACTAGGAAACATATCTATGAAGAATTGAGCTTGTCATGAATGAGAACTGAAGATTAACTGAATAAATATCTGAAATCGACTGTGGAGCTCTAACTGAGTTATTATGACCAAGCATATTTGGTGTTATGAACAATTTACATTAACTCGTTCTGTCATAGTTTTCTTCAATGTGCACTTTCTGCTCCACACTTTATGTCGCAGTAGTTACATGAAATGTATTGTCATGAGGCTTCTAAAATTTAGTTTGATGATTGTGCGATTGGATAACTCCACAGTATACCTTGTCATCTTGTTTCAAACAAGCGCCCCTAAACGTTCAGATGCCTCAAACCAGGACTTTTACTTCAGTTATTGTACTCTCACTGATAACAGTCTGATAGACTGCCTTCATTTTAAATCAAGTTACATACATGCATAGGATCCTTTCGACGAACATATTTGTATATGCACCTCATTCAGCTAATATTTGGTTTGATGGTTTGTTAACATATATTAAATCTTCATGATGAACTGCAGGGATAACTTTGCATTGGTAAAATGCAACACACTAATTTAAGTCGTTTCTTAAAATAGTCAATCACAACATAAGCGTCTCATTCTAAATTTTTATCAGTCATATTTGGACGCCACAAAGCGTCCATCTTTCATACTCCGATCACCACGTAAATTGATGTAGAGAGCGAAAAATATTTTTTTTCATTTATTAATCTGATGTTCATCCACTGGTATCGATTAACTTAGGAAACGGTATAATACTGATAGTAAAATTTCTATAATGTCTCCAAATCAATAACTTGATATCTTCGATTACTGGAGGCTAATCATCTGTATCTATATAAATGTGCTTTTATCTAACATCGTAGTAAGAAACTGTACATGCACACTTGACACGTACATCAGAAAAGCAATCATTACGCTTTAACATAAATCCACTTTGAAATCTCATGTACACACATAGATGACTCACTGCTGCATATTCATCCGGAACTTCTACGTGACCACACATGGCTTCGCGTTTGCATTCCGAGTTGTAACAGTAAACATAACCCTTTTTTTCGTGTATATAGTGCCCACCATTTTTGCAGTTTCTTCGAATGAACATAAAAAATATTAAGCTAATAAACATCGATTTAATAATCAATCTTAACTTCGCCTTTCTAAAAGGAATCAATGTTAGAAAGATGTACTGGTACAAATTTGAGTTTCATTCGACTATTCTATCTACCACATCCGCTTAATTAATTCAGAGTCATCCAAACGAGAAGAAAAGGTAACAGTTTTCTCGGTAGAAATGTGATGCAAACTATGAAAGATTTGGAGAGAACACGATATTTACCTTTTCACAAGTTGTCTTCCACTTCCTGGAGTTCTGACTGTCAATGTCGTCTCCCAAAACCTCATCGCTTTTTGCATCAGCTTCTGTAAGAGACATTCAAATTAGAGAAACGCGATTACTGGAATGGAATAGAATGATATTAGTTTAATTTGACAGATTGAGTAGTTTATATAAATCTGCTTTTAAAAAAGTAGAATTCGGAAGACAAGTGAAGTAATAAAGAACCCTAAAACACTTTTCTATGTTGTGCTTGACAGTCGTAAACTATTACTTTATTCAGTCAACTGGTCCTACATTAACTAAATGCAAATTTCTCAGAAACTGAAAGTACAAAACCATTGATTCACACAATGCATGTTTAAAATATTGTCACTTTA